CCCAAAACCACACCAACCTGTGCCCAGCCAGACCAAAGCGGAGGTTATTTAGCAGGCCAGTGGGGAGGTTTTAATCATCCCAAACATCCTGGGCCAGTCTATTCTTAATAATAATTTATAGTACTTTTACATGTTCTAAGCATTTTGCAGGCTTTAACTGTGGGCTTGGACTGCTTTGGAGCCGGGACTGGCACTGCGGTCTCGCCCAGGCCTAGCAGAGGGGTAGGGGTTCAAGGAGCAGGCTTTCCACCGCCTGCCCTCGTTCACTGCTGCGTCTGCCCACGGATGGCTGTCTTCCAGCCCCTCATCCCACTTCACAGTTTTCCTCTCAAAACTAGAGTATGTCCCTTATGCAAATGTGCTTTAAAACTGCAGTCATCTAGCCGCTGGCCTGGGGAGCGTGGCTGTTTCACCAGCAGATACAGTAAATAATCACCACTGTCAAGCAGGGCAGCTAGGTAGGGAACTGGTCCCATTTCACAAATGAGGCAGCTGGCACAGAAAGGCTAGCTAACTGGTAGAGCTGGGAACACATTTCCCTGCTCCAACCTTCTCTTCCTGGCCTTACAGTGATTATTTCCAGAGCATGGCTTAGACTTCAGCATGTTCAGAGAGGCTAGGAAGCTAAAAGACACCCCAACCCTCTCTACTATCAGAAATGCTCCTTGGTTTGGATTTGGCTTATGCAAAATGTGTTGCCCACACAGGAAATACAGATGGGTCTGCACCACCCCTAGATCTAGCCTCTGCTAGATTTGTCATCATTGTAGCTTTTGCTGTCATCTACATGAGCTGCAGGGCTTTAATCTGGGGCTGGGATCTGCAGTGGCACACAGCAAGCTGATCCTCCACGCAGAGGCTGCAGCAGAAAGATGGATTTTGCAGGACATGGTAAAGCACTGTGTGATACATGTAGCTGAAAGATGAAGTGAAAAACGCATGTCCACAAGCCCGATGCTGCTGCCACCTCTGCAGTCCTTCCCCTCTTCCTGCACCCGGCTGCTGGGGATGGCGTCCATGCTCCCCTTTGCACCGCTGCTGCTGTAAGGGACTGAACCGTGGGAGCAGATACCCAGCTGTGGTGGCAGGAAGATGCAGGAGGGAGAGGTGGGGAAACATGCTGGAGGAGATGGTAGCCATCGCCTCCAAGAAGCTCGGAAGGTTTAAAAAAAAAAACTGTTTCACATATGGAACTGAAACTGAAGCAAGGGAAATTCACTGCGAGCACTTAAGTGGTGGCCACCAGCTATTTAAAGCTTCTTATGCATCTGATGTGCAGCTGGGCATAAAGAAAGGCTGTTGCCTGCAGCTTGCACAGAGGTACCCATGACAGCTTTGAAACAGGGCTTTTGAACACTGGTAGGTACAATTGCAGCAACCAAGAGGTCAGCATGGGCTAGAAACCACCCAAGAAACCAGGGAATAGCTGGGGCATTTGAGGAGGGAGCCGGCATGACTGGTGCCCCTATCAGCCCTAGCTAAACAGAAGCAGGACCGGAGCCAGGGAGTTTAATATTATTTCAGGAACCAGTCAAGACTGGACAGGAACTGCAATCGCAGTCTCATAGACAGACACAGAGAGCTATTACACAACCTCCAGCCAGGCTACCCCCTCCTCAGCAAGAATTCAAACTAGCTAAGAGATGTGTCGTGGAAATGACCCCTATAACATTCCCTGTTGGTCCTTTATACAGGGCAAGTCTTCATATACCATGCCTTGGTTCCCAGGGAGGTCTGAAGCCAGAGGTGTGAATGCCTGCAGGCACTAGAGGAACCCAGGTCCTCCTACAAACAGGGCTCCTGGCTGGTGGCAACCATACCCTGGCTTGGGCTGTCCTGTTCTCCCTCCTTCCACCCTCCGTGTCCAGACAGATCCTGCCTAAAAGCGGCTGTGGTCTTATTTCACCAGTGCTGGCCACCCATGATTTTTGTTTTCAGAGTGTGGACCACATTTTAATAGAGAGTAAAGCATCTCAAACACCTTCTTATTTCCTAGCACAACCCTTGCAACATCTGTACAGCACTCTCCTGGTAATGGCTGCGATTGCTTACATAGAAAAGTCCCATTAAAGTGTTTTAGCACTGGACTTTGGTTTTGTTTTTCAAACTCAATTTGATGGAATGAACCAGCGCTGCAGATCTCTTGGGTGCTCTGGCAGGCATTTCCAAGACCCCTGCCTGATTCTGAGCTGCTGTCTGAGGTCCTTTGCACCAGCATTTTAACCCCTCTTGATGCTCCTCCCTGGGAACCCATCTCTAGCACCCAACTGCTCACTGCAGAGACAGTTTTCTAACTGACTAGCCTGAATTTAGTTTTATGGTCCTAACGCCAGGCTTCACTACTCTGAGATAATTAGAGCAAATCCCTTCCTTTGCTCATATTGTTCCCTTGAAGGTA